GAGATTTGTTCTAATAGTGTTTGTAAATAGGATATCATGTCTGCATCTTGTACAGCAATTAACCACTAGGAAGAATGTATGCAATGTGTTAAATATTGAAACTGTCCTACCAATTTGGTTTGAAAGTGTCATTGCTATTTGTTTCTCAATAAAATTATGTGGAAAAAAATAAAAGAGCTAATTAGATTTGGGACTTCAGTTTTGCAATGACATTGCTCATGTATGTACTATAGTTTTTCAGGCTTAAGAATAAAGGATTTTTAAGTTTTGGCACAAAAAATAAATAAATAAAAATATTAGTTTTTAAGGGCGGGCCAGATAGCTCAGTGGCCTAAAGCTGCTTAAGCAGAGTGCAGCAGCTGGGGTGTTGTACCAGCCCTGCCCCCAGAGTACGCTGAGAAGGTGATTGGGACTGGATGTGGTGGTGTGTGCCTGTAATCCCAGTGCTGTGGAAGCTGAAAACAGGATCATTACAAGTCTGGTCTATGTAGTGAGATACTGAATATCTTGTAGACCCTGTACCTATGTAACTTTTAAAAATTATTCTTTTATTTGGGCGTGGTGGCTCACACCTGTAATCTCAGCACTTAGGAAGCTGAAGCAGGAGGATTGCTGTGATTTTGAGGCCAGCCTGGGTTACACAAGTGAGTTTTAAGGCTAGCCTGGACTACATAAAGAGACTGTGTCTCACCATCCCCCACCCCATTCTATTTTTAAAACCCTGGTTGTTTTTGTGTACTTCATTGTTTTGAGGTTTTTATTTTTATTTTTTTATTTTTAAATTTTTGGTACTAGGGATCAAACTCAGGACCTTGTGCTTGCTAGGCAATTGTTTATGCTGCTGAGCTATTTCCCCAGTCCAGTTTGTATTTTTAAATAGAGTATTTAATGATCACTCTTACTGTTGAATTTGACAAGCATGGCAAAGGGCCAATCTAATGAGCCCAAAGAGAGAATTTGCAGAATGTACACGTTAAGCAGCCCTCAAACTGACTTTGCATGAAATCTGGGCTATCTGTATTTATTCTTGCTGAGGAAAAATTTGTTTAAAGTTGACTCTTCTCATACCCTGTGCCTCAGTTACTTTTCTTTCCATTGCTGGGACAAAATACCTGACACCCAAAATTAAGGAAGGAATAGTTTAGTTAGCTCACAGTTAGTGGAGCTTTCAGTCCATACTCAGCTGGCTCAAGGCAGAGGGCAGCAGTTCATGGTGGTGGGAAAAATGACAAAGAGCCAAGGGAGGAGCAGCAGCTATGGCTGCTTAGCAAGCCTTTCTTTTCTCCTTACATTGTAATGCAGATTAACCCACTCCAGGCAGGGGTTGCACTCACACCCTTAATCCCTACATTGGATCATGAATTAATCACAAACTCTAGACACTGTCCATGACTGCATGAGGCTTTTGGGGGGAAAATTAGACACAAACCATAACATTCTGTATTCTGATTCCAATCTTCACTTGTTTTTATAGCTGGAGACAATTGGATGGCAGCTTAACCTTCAAATTGCTCATTCTGCTCAAGCAAAACTAAAATCCCCTCAAGCTGTGATACAACTAGGAGTGAACAGTGAAGATTCAAAGGTAAGAAATGATGTTCAAATGAAATGATGTATCTTGGTAGTTCTTACACTTTGTTTTTTTGAGAGAGGGTCTTGCTGTGTAGTTCAGGCTGGCCTTCAACTCAGTGATTCTCTTGCCTCAGCCTTTGGTCTTACACTTTATTGATAACAGGGCATTTTTAGATAGAACTAAAGGTGAATTAATTGAAAGTTCTTTGTGACAAGTTTTGATGTCAAAATTCAATGTCACTGCTATTTATGTGAAGAAATAGCTTATCTTGCAAGGTATACCTTTATACCTGTACATGATATACCCTGATTTGTCTTTTATTCCATATTTCTGCTCCCTTCATCCTTATTTACAAAAAGCTTTGTTTTTATTTTATCCTTTTCTTATTTTTTTCTTTTTCCTTTCTTCCTTTCTCCCTTCCCCCCTTCCCTTCCCTAGTTCCCCTTTCCTTTGAATAGTTTCTTCCCATTTCACTATATCTCTTGTAGAGTTTGGTTAGTTTCTCACTAGTTAGACAATGTGATATTTTACTTGAGTATGGCCTTAGAGTCCATCCATTTAGCAATAAATGTCTCAAGTTTATCCTTCTTTATAGTAGTCCATTATATAAAAACATATCTTTTAATCTATGAATACTGTAGTTTAATTCTGAGGAATTGGAAGCAGTTTGGTTATAAGTTGGAAGGGTTCTATTTTGATTACCTCATGAATATGCTTTAAGCATCACAACTTCAACAATACCTGACTTTTGTAATTCTCAAGTACTCTTAGCTCTTTCGCAGCTTCAAAATGTCTGTTTATTATAGTTTTAGACAGTGGGAATGAATAATTCTAGTAATATAGTCATGTTTACATTCATGTTATTTAGGAAGTTAATACAGATATGAAATTCAGTTCATTTGAGATAAGGTTTGAGTACATTTCTGTTTTTATCTATTACTATTTTGAAATTTTGGATGAATATTATTATATATGCATATTTAGTTGACATAACTTGCAGGGCTAGACCACTGTTTTCATTAACAGACATAGGAAGAGGAGTTACAGCCCCAGATGTAAAGGACACGTTCTTCCATCTTGGGCACAGATATGACTTCTTTGTATTGCCTCCCTACAATGGTGTGTGTGGATTTGGTTCACATGTCCTCTATCTCCTAAACAGTTATTATAAAGTAAAATGTAAAAAGCTACTGTCATTGTGGACAGAAACGTGGCATCTCCAAGTGATGCTCTATGGCCTCTCTGTAAAGTGAACCAGGACTTACGCTGCCTGTTTGCCTCAGCCAACTGCAACCTGGAAGTGTTACTTTTTTGTTTGTTTACATTCTTCTGTTTTATGATCTGATGCTCTATTCTTTTTACTCTTGCTTGACCTGACTTCTATTAATAAGGACTACAAACTAGTTTTCTCCAAAAATTGCTATGTTCTAAAGATTCAGGAATTAATGGGTTCAAATATTAAGTAAAAGGAGCATGTTTTAAAAGCTGTTTGTTAAAGGGAAAGCCTTTATGAAAAGAAAAATTAGTTTGTAATTCAAATCACTATAAAATACCAAGTTGTTATACTTAGGAAAAGAAAAATCGTTTCTATCATGGAGTAAAATTCTTTTAAATATATATTTTGTAGTAGTTATACTGCATGCATTTACACATTAAAAAGCTAAGAGGATTAGACATTATAACTCTTGAGACTATTTTGGTGGTATTAATTTGGAACTGTTGAACTAAAAATTTACAATAATTTACTCAAGTATAGTTTCTAGAGGTTTTCTTCTTTTTCATTTCCAACATGCACATGAACAATGTAGTGTGCATGAAGTTTCAGTTTTTATCACACTAGCTAACGTTGTTTGACTGTGATCTCTTTTCTTAGAACATTTGTCTCAAGGCTTTGCTGTTTTGCTACTAATTTTATCACAAGAACTAGAGGGTTTTAGCTTTCCTGCAGTATTTTGATATATATTCTATTTTTTTTTTTTTTTCATTACCTTTGTGTCTGTGTACTGCCTTTTGCAAAGGAAAATGTTTTTTCTCTTCCACAGATACTCCAAAATGAGTTTTCTGAGGGTTTTGTTTTGTTTTTGGTTCATTTCATTAGGGGGCAGTAGAGCACTTTGTTCATCTAGTCTTTTCTGGCATTCACAGTATTATTTGGAATAACATTTGAAATAATTGTGAACTCAGTAGTTGTGGGCAATGCTAAATGTTTACATTTCTGTTCTGTATGTAACAGTAGAGTTCTCTTGTTTCCATCAACAAAATTAATGTCTATTAGTCAGATACATATAGGACAAATAAATGAAATCATCCTGATTCAGCTTTTTCTTAATTTATGTTCTTTTGCCAAAATAAAATTTATTTAAAAGCCATGTACTACACACTGTTGACTTTCTAAATGCATTCTGTCATTGATATTATTTTTTTTTATTGGAGAAGGAATAAAGTAATCTCCAAGATAATTGAATGACTCTATTAGGTTATACTTTAACTACTTGCAGGTTAATTACAGTCAGTTGATTTTTTAAAAAAATCTTTGAAGAGTAGCAGTGTCATATACAGCAAATGTTGATAATTTTGAATGATGTCAATGATTTAACTTTAAATATCCCCAAAACATTAAAATAGTTAATTTTTTTCTTAGTCTGATGGCATTTTTTCTCATTTTATTATTCAAATGAATCATAATTTGTTAAAATAGTGATAAAAATATTTCATATAGTTTTAAAAGAAAAAATACTGAATATTACTGTTTTGCAACAACTAGGATAAAATCATCTTGACCAAAAACAAAAACAAAGGAAACAAACTTTTATTCCTTATGTTACTGAATTATATTTAAAAGGTACTTTATGGATAGATAATCATGATTTTAAGTGAACTAAAGTTTTTTAATATTAGTTTCTGAAGTAGAGATCTTCATTTTTTTTTCTTTTTTGAGATCTTTATTCTTATTCTACTTACAGTGAGTAAAAAGAGAAAGAAGTCTTTTTAACTGTTTACTGGTACTAAGGCATGATATTACCTCTTTTGCTATTTGAAACATCTTTTCCATAGAGGAAATAATAATTTTATCTTATTGATAGAAAAAGGGAGATAGTGATGTTAATTTTCTTAAGTAATAAACTAGTAAAAAGTACACCTAGGATTTGAAAACAGACTATTTCATTTCAGACTCATGTGTTAAAATCATTGGTATGATGCTGTATCATTTTGCCTATATTAATAATTTAGTAGTCGATACTGTAGTATGAATATATTTCTCAAAGTGTTGACCACTTTTCTGAAATGTAGAGTTTTTGTTTTTTCTTCATAAGATTATACTTACATGGATTCAATGTTGCATTTTTGTTTTATTTGGTTAAATTGAAACAATTTAGCACTTTTAGACACTTATTTTTATATAGTAAAGAAAGTCATGTACGATATCAGTTGGTTTTACAGACACTGTATTTACTAACAAAATTTCAAATGTTGATGTCTTATGAACAAAAAAATAGATTATGTTACTGAAAATACATCCTTACATTTACTTAGGATATATGCAATAGTATGCTAATCAAATAGAGAAATCCTGTTGCACAAATTTAAAATATTTTGATCTACTTGCAGGTTATGTTAGTATTGCCTAACTTGAAGGACCTTCAAATTTTTCTGAGCTGTCATGAGCAGGTCTCAGCTTTCTAAAAGTATTTGTTTAGGTACCCGTATATAGTATCTTTATTAGCCTACATGACTTTAAAGGATACTTTTAACCCTTTAATTAATCATATGAACAAGATAATTTAACTGATGGAACATAATTCAAACATGAAAAGACATTCATTTATTTCAACACTACCAGATAGCTTTTCAAAATTATATGTATTTCAGGTGTATAACTATTTTGATATATAAAGTGAACTGACTATTATAGTGAAGCAGAATTAACCTACTCAGAACTCTTTATTATTATCTCTCTTTTTTTTTATGAATTTAGGACAGGGTCTACAGGGTCTCACTACAAAGATCGGGCTCCTAGTGATTCTCCTGTTTTCAGCCTCTCAAGCACTAGGATTACGGGTGTGCACCGCCACACTCAGTCTCAATTGCTGTCTCAGCATGCCCTGGGGGTGGGGCTGGCATGGCACCCTGGGAATCGAACCCTGGCTGCTGCATTCTGCCTAAGCAGCCACTTTAGTCCACTGAGCTATCTGGCAGGCTCACTATTATTATCTTTTTACATATCTGCTAAAAGCATCTCAAAAATTTATTTTCTTTGCAGATTTTGAGTACACAATACAATCTTATTAGCTACACTCTTTATACTGTATGTGGAACTGAATGTTTATACACTTTGGCCTGTTTCCATTTTCTCAACCTTATGATCATTGTTGTGGTCCTTTAAAAAAATTCTACATATAAGTGAGATTGTACTGTATTTTTCTGTGTCTGGATTATGTTTCTTAAGGTAATGTTCTCCAGGTTCATCCAGGCTGATTCAAATGGTGGTACTTACTTTTTTTAAAGACTCAATAGTAATCCAGTGTGTGTGTGTGTGTGTGTGTGTGTGTGTGTGTGTGTGTGTATGTGTACATATAGAAAAACACAGTTTTTTAGATCTATTCATTTGTTGGGAGACATTTAGGTTGTTTCTAAATCTTGGTTGTGAATAATGCTGTAATGAACATGGGAGAACAAGTATCTTTTCAAAATACTGATTTTATTTTCTGTACGTATACCCCTAACAAGACATACGGCTTGTCACTAATTCTGTTTTCAATTTTTTGAGAAAACTACCATACTGTTTTTTATAATGGCTGTCTCAATTTTTATTCCCACCATTAATGTCCAAGGGTTCATTTTCTTCACACACTTTCTGACACTTGTTATATGTTGTCCTTTTGATAGCATTCTAATTTATGGTATCATGAGTAGTGTGAGTTCATTAACATTGTTTATCCCAACTTATGAACAAATGCTAACTTGCCATTTAAATATACCTTAGTTTCTTCCATATTTCATGGTTTTCAGTG